CTGTGACTTCTTTTAGCGTCTTGCGGTCTGCTCTGGAGGGGGAACTTGCTTGGACGTCCGGACCTGGGCATGGTGGCAATTGTTTTCAATGTCCTCCACTTGTAAACAATTTTCCGGATGGTGGAATGGCTGATGTTAAATTCTTTTTAAATCCCTTACCAGACTCATAAGCCACAATTATCTTTCTGAGGGCCTCAGACAGCTCTTTGGATCTCACAAAGTGATACACCTGTGTGTGATTTCTAACCATTTTAAGTGGGAAAATATGTGGGGTGTCCTAATTTATTCCTAACCAGAAATTGTATCCTTTTTAATTTACATTTCACAGAAAGTTTAAACTAGGCTTTTCTTAATTTTTAATTGTTTAGTTATATTACTTGGACCCTTCAGTATTGTTAAAATTGATATTAAATATCCATATGTCCAAATATGTTAAAAAAATATACAGGCTTTCATAGGGTGTCCTAATTTTTTCACGACTGTACATCAATGTTTTTCATTGCACTTTGAATCATTCTTCATATGCTTCTAACTCATGGTTTGAGCAGGAAAAAGCCAAAGACTGCATTGGTGTCCGGCTGTCCTGCAGAGTCTCTCCAGGCAGCAGTGAGGCAGTGAAAGCAGCGGAGTTCCTAATAATAATTTAAAAAAAAAACAGTGAATCTCATAACAGTCTCATGTTGTATTATAACAATTAAATTGTATTTTAAAGTTTCAATTTATACATGTGCAGCAAGACTGATGTGTAAAATAGCAAACTATTGTGTTGTTATTTTGTTAGTGTAGTGTTTTCTGCTGATTGTTGTTTTTGTGACGTAAACTCAGATATCTTTGAACATGAATGAGAGTTCAAGAACAATGTCATCACTAACATCATCTTCATTACTTGCAGAGGCTGTAACTGATATTTTCTGTACAGGATTGAAACTTTAGAGAAACAAAGAACACTGAGTTTCCAGTGCAGAAAGAATGGCTGGATAGATATTTCTTGAGAACTTAAAGAGTTTGAGAGGGTGATGGAAGAAGACAGAAATGCAGAGAGTAAGTGACCAATTGTAATCCGGTAATATTTCCAGTTGATTTAAATATAAATATATTTACATTGTGATAAAAAAGGCGACCCTTCAAAAGTAGCTGTTAAAGATTCATCACGGCGTGAGAAAATTTCAGGGGCAGCTGATAGATGTGAAACCCACACCTGAGTGTGAGTAACATCAGACATGCATTTACATGACAGAGCTAATTATTCCCGAAGAATGTAATAGTTTGCAGAATTTTCTCATGTCTCAAAACATAATCAACATTTCTATTCTTTTTTTATGTATGCAGGTATGTTTAAATTGTTGTGATAAAAAGTATTTGCATTTATGAACACACTTTAAAATATTTCCATCCATCCATTTTCATCCATTTTCATCTGCTTATCCGTTACCAGGTCGCGGGGGCAGCAGTCTCCACGGCCGCCACCCAAATCACATTGCACCATACCAACCCCTTGTGAATCTTCCTGCAGGTGGTGAGCCCACTGTAAGGCACCAACCGCCCTAACCGGGATTCGATCTTGCCCAGGAGGTGAACGCTGGGTTTCTACACCAATGACAGAGACATTGCCTCTGGGCCAAAGCTCCACAATTTAAAATATTTCTTACATATATATTTATTTTGGCAAATCATTTAATTAGGCTAATCATGTATGATTAATTATTTTATTTTCAGTGATTGAACGACTGATAAATAATGTCAGAAGTGGAAAGCTCAATCAACAACCTGAGGAGCAGCGCTCATGGTACCTGTACAGTGTGAATGGAGTAGAATAGAATAGAATAACATAGAATAGAATAGAAAGAAAATTTACTTTACTACCTATTTTTATTATGTATTCTACTCAGTACCCTTCCAACCAACATCATCTTAAGATGATGATGAAAATACAACTTGTTGAGATCCGGTGTATCGTGTGTGTGTTTTTCTGTTTCATTTTTTTTTAATTTGTTCATGTAAATCTTCTATAATTCTAATACTCATGGACAAAGGTCTCATTGCAACTCTCATGTCCTCCCAGTTGCTAACATCCTTAGTTCTCTGGATCCAAAATTTAAATTCTGTGTTACAGAGTCAACCCCATTACGTGTGGTGACGGTGCCATTCTCAGAGCACCTCAGTGGTCCACCAGCTGCCAAGTTACCTCTGAGGTGCTCTGAGCATGGCACCGTCCCCACACACTGCTCCCCGGTCGCTTATAAGCTGCCCACTGTTCACTTTGGTGATGGGTTAAAAACAGAGGTCACATTTTGTTGTGTGCAGTGGTGTGCTGTGTCACAATGTGTCACAATGACAATGACTTGGGGATTTGTGATTAAACTAATGTTGGTGTGCATCTGTTCTTCTCAGCTTCAATGCACTTCAGAAGGAGGAAACGATTTGCAGACAAGAGGTTCTAGCTTATGAGAAGAAGATTGAGAACTTGACAGAGTCAGGGGGAGGCAGAAAGAAGGGAGAAGGAGGCCAAAACTCCGGTTCAACAGCAGAAGTGAGCTACAGGACTTTTCCATATAAATTGTTAATTTCCTTGTCTTTGTTTTAGTGAGTTGAATTTTAATGTGTTTAGAATTGAGGAGGAGAAGAGGGAGAGAGCACAGCGACTGGAGGAATGGAGAGAAAAGAAGCGAAGGAAAGATGAGGAAGAAGATGAGCGAAGAGTGGCAGATGAGATCATGAAGAGGAGACGCAAAAGTGAGTGCAGTTGATGATTGTAAATGGCAATTTAGATATTCAATAAATTATATTATTCCTTTAATTTTCTATCAGAAGGAGCGTCGCTGGCAGGTGGAAGTTAAGCTGATCATTGAGGAGCAGCTGAGGCTGAAGAGAGAGGAGAACAGGAGAGTTGGAGGAGAGAGGAGGAACAGAGGGCGATGGATGAGAGGAGGAGCGAGGCAACAAAAGGGATTAAACTCTTGACAGAAAGGGTAGGAAGTCTAAAAGATGCAGAGATGTAACATGATGTTTTTTTTAATTTTTATTTAGCCTCATTCAAAGAGAATATCAACAATGGATTCCATTTTAATAATTATTGACTACTTTTTTAAATTAAAATTATTTCAGGCTGTATTTTTTTTGTGATTGAGTTGCAATTTTTGTACCTTTCTGTAGGACCTTCACAAGTTGAAAGCAAAGCTCCATGAGAAACAGCTGAGGTAAAAAGAGGAGGAAGAAAGACAGAAGAGAGAAGACTAAACAGACACTTTATTACCAAAAGTATTCGCTCCCCCATTCAAATGATCAGAATCAGGTGTCCTAATCCCTTGTCCTGGCCACAGGTGTATAAAATCAAGCAAGTCGCCGACTTTCTGCACAGTCAATTGCTACAGAGCTACAAACTTCATGTGGCCTTCAGATTAGCCCAACTACAGTACGCAGAGAGCTTCATGGAATGGGTTTCCATGGCCGAGCAGCTGCAGCCAAGCCACACATCACCAAGTGCAATGCAAAGCGTCGGATGCAATGGTGTAAAGCACGCCGCCACTGGCCTCTAGAGCAGTGGAGACGCGTTCTCTGGAGTGATGAATCACGCTTTTCCATCTGGCAATCTGATGGACGAGTCTGGGTTTGGAGGTTGCCAGGAGAACGGTACATTTCAGACTGCATTGTGCTGACTGTGAAATTTGGTGGAGGAGGAATTATGGTGTGGGGTTGTTTTTCAGGAGCTGGGCTTGGCCCCTTAGTTCCAGTTAAGGGACTTTGAATGCTTCAGGATACCAAAACATTTTGGACAATTCCATGCTCCCAACCTTGTGGGAACAGTTTGAAGCGGGCCCCTTCCTCTTCCAACATGACTGTGCACCAGTGCACAAAGCAAGGTCCATAAAGACATGGATGACAGAGTCCTGACCTGAACCCGATAGAACACCTTTGGGATGAATTAGAGCGGAGACTGAGAGCCAGGCCTTCTCGACCAACATCAGTGTGTGACCTCACTAATGCGCTTTTGGAAGAATGGTCAAAAATTCCTATAAACACTCTCCTCAACCTTGTGGACAGTCTTCCCAGAAGAGTTGAAGCTGTAATAGCTGCAAAAGGTGGACCGACATCATATTGAACTCTGGGTTAGGAATGGGATGGCACTTCAGTTCATAGTATGAGTCAAGGCAGGTGAGCGAATACTTTTGGTAATATAGTGTATCTTTGAACAAAAAAAAAACAAAACAAAAAAAAAACGTTTTACTGCAGTAAACAATGATTTAATATACATATTATGTCCTTTATTCAGGTTGAAGGTCACATTAGCAGGGTTCCTTACAGACTTACTAGACCCACCAAAGGATGGGAGGAAAGAATGAAGCATGTTGGACCCTCAGGAGTCCAATCTTCTCTTCAGATGTTTCACAGGTCTCAGTGGATTTACTATAATAGTCAGAGGTTTAAGATCACACTAACAACCATATTTCATGGCCTGATGAACTCCTAAAATTTGTTTTCATTTATTGCAGTGCTGTTCCAACATGGAGACAAGGCCTCTGAAGGACATGAGTCTGCTGTAATTTAACTTTTTTGTAACTATATTAATTTGTATAGATAATCTATATGAGGAAACACTGTTTTTAGAAAATAAAAAAAGTTTGCTAAAGCTGAACCATGTCTAAATAATGATCAAATTATAGTATTTAAGGCAAGCAATAAATATAGGAATGCAGAAGAACGCTGGCACAAAACGGTGGTTCAATGCCAATACTTGTTTGCAAAAACAAAGCCTTCAGAAGCTCCATTTATACCCAATCTTGGCACATAGTCCTGTTACCAGTTAATATGCTAATTAAGGAACTTTTCAAAATGTTTTCTTCAGTCTTTTCAGTTGCCAGATCTTTAGTGCATAGTAGTTGTGTATTCATATTTCTATTTCATTCTTTTTTGTTTTACAAATACATTTAAAATTTAGGTAAGCGTTATATTATTACGATGTGCACGTTAATAAGCAAGCGCACCGGAAGTGATTCGTCATAGGTGCCAATTCAAAGATGGCGGAAAAGGAGAGTCAGTTAGACGAATTTGAGCAAATATACTTTTTAAGAGATCGACATGTACGTTTCTTCCAGAGAACACTGCAGGTGTTACCTGAAAGATATGCCTCACTGGAAACGACCAGGTAAATGTAGCGATATTAACGTAGCGGCTTTAGTTTATGTAGGAAGTTGGTTAGCATCAGAGCTAACTGTGATTCATCATCAGTTTTGAATGGAAGCTGCTGCCACTTTAGCTTAGCGTTGTAGTTAGCGCAAGCTATGACAGTGAAGTTAGGACTGGAGAGAAACAGGAAACTTAATTACGGCGACGCCCAGACGGACTTGTCAAAGTCTCATTTAAAGTCTTGATAAAACTATGGGTACCTCATATTTTTTCAACTGGACATTATATTATTACAAGTTGTGATTTATAAGTGCACTATGAATCGGTTTTAATTACTGCCTATGGTTGGAACCAGGTATTATTTTAAATAATCATACTACATGTCAATAATTGATATGTATGGTATGAATGTATGGTATTAATCCATAACATGCAGTAGATGAGGGCAGATGTTATTCTTTGTGTTTCACAAACCTCAGAATGACCACAGGTATTAATTTAATGACTAAAATGACAGGTCACTTGGGCATGTTACAATCAACGACTGACTGATTGATTGAAACTATTGAGTGCTAGCGCTGCCCCATATTTATCAGGACCCGTTGCTTAGCTGTGACTATCTACTTTTAAGAGAAAGGATTGATATCCGATGCGCTGGGCTGCGAGTGACAGTCGTGTTCATTATTATTATTATTATTTATTGTTAAATAGTCAACCGGGGCCACAAAATAGTAATTGTGCTCACTGTTATTGGAGAACAAATAAACCTTCACATTAGAATGCTGAAAACAAAAACAAAAACTCACTTTAAACATTAACAATAGACAGTTGTACTTTCCAATATATTTATTTAAAAGTTACATGCATGTTTGGATGACTTGACAGCACCACATAAGTCTTGATTTAATGTTGCAGTAAGTTGATAAGAAGTAAGAGTTATGTTACAACTTTCTCTGAATTCCTCTCTCCAGGTTAACAATCATATTTTTCGCTCTGTCTGGTCTGGATGTGCTGGATGCCCTTGATGTGATTGATAGGAACACAATGATTGATTGGATCTACTCACTACAGGTTATACCTACAGAGGATGGTAAGTATAACTTCATCATAGAGGACTTCCTGCACCTGACTGACAATCAAGCAGTTTGCTATTGGAAAAAAACTTTGCCCTTTATTTATTGTCAACGTGGGTAATTATTTTAAAAATGGAGCAACAGACTCTTTTTGAGCATGATCAGTTGGACATGATCACCCTTTTGACACCTTCAAGAACAATACATTTTAATGCTAGATTTTTTTTTTTTGGTTGTGTCAAGACCTGACTTTCATTGTCTTTGGTTTCCATCAAAGGAATGTTTACTTTTTTAGATTTTCAATTTAAAAAGATTTTCATAAATACGTTTATGTAACTTTTATGTATGTACAAAACATACATTTATATGTGTGTTTGAATGTCATTTATTTGAATTATTTTATCTTGAAATATACACTTTTGGACAAGTCACTCTCTTTGTTAATTATTCAAGACGTCAACAGAAATCACTTTGTGATAGCTGAGCTTGATTGCTTTCATTTCTGCTGCTGCCGTGTGTTTGGTGTTGGAAGGGGCTTTAGATAGTCCAATGAAAAAATGCTTCTTTTGAGATTTTTCCTAATGTATCATCAGAATTAAGGAGCCTTTAGTGTAGTTTACAGGAGATTTGGCGCCAGAGTTGGTATTTCCCAAAATGATTGCTGAAGTTTTGGTAAAAAAAAAAAAAACCATTAAACTGAGTTTTATCTCTCTGACAGTGAATGACTTAGGACGTCAGATCTGGGGATATATCAACGACATTTTATTGTCTTTTTAAAATTGTGAAGAAAGATGTTGATTCTAATCCAAAACAAAAAAAAAAAAACTATTACCATTTCAATATTTAACTAATTAATTTTAATTACACGTCTTGAACATTTCTCATTTGAGTATTTTTGAGATATGTCTTATTTAGGTCAACCTTTTTTTAAACGTGCTATATTAATATAGTTTGATATGATACGTTTTTTCCTGCCTGTCCTGCTTCCTTTCGTGACTTCTAGATGTCGCCAGCATGAACCAGCCACTAGGGTGCACAAGCCAGTGTTTCTATAGTGCTGGTCCCAAGCCCAGATAAATGGTGAGGGATGCGTCAGGAAGGGCATTCGGTGTAAAACCACTGGCCAAATCAAGTATGCGTATCACAAAAACAATTTCCATACCGGAACGGTCGGTGACCGGGTTAACAATGACCGCCAACAGTGCTGTTGACCAACAGGGTGCTGGTGGAAATTGGACTACTGTTGGTCGAACACAAAGAAGAAGAGGAGGGCGATTGATTTGGAGAAAAAGAGAAAAGAGGAAGGATAGGAGTGTGCAGGATACCAGGTAGAAGGGCAGCAAGGCGAGAAACATTGGAGCAGGCTACAAACTATTTTACCATGGCTTGGATGGGAAGAGAAATGGAGTAGGGGTGATCCTAAAGGAGAGTATGCAAGAAATGTTGTGGAGGTGAAACGAGAGTGAGACAGGTTGATGTGTGTGAAGGTAGAAATACAGTGGATATTTGGTTTTTGTGATGTAAAAAAAAGACACAAAGATACATAATTTCACTACTTTTTCCATTTTTAATGTGACCCATAACATGTAATAGGCAATTGAAAAACAAACTGAAATCTTCACTAGGGGAAAAAAAAAACAAAAAACCTTGTTGCATAAATATGCACACCCTAAACTAATACTTTGTTGCAGGACCTTTGGCTTTAATTACAGCACTCAGTCTTTTTGTCTAACAGTGTGGCACATCTTGATGTCGCAATATTTGCCCACTGTTCTTTGCAAAATGCTAATGCTCCAAATCTGACAGATTACGAGGGCATCTCCTATGCACAGCCCTCTTCAGATCACTCCACAGATGTTCGATCGGATTCAGGTCTGGACTCTGGCTGGGCCATTCCAAAACCTCAATCTTATTCTGGTGAAGCCATTCTTTAGTTGATTTGGATGTGTGTTTTGGTCATTGTCATGCTGAAAGGTAAACTTCCTCTTCATCTTCAGTTTTCTAACAGAAGTCAAAAGGTTTTGTGCCAACACTGACTGGTATTTGGAACTGTTCATAATTCCCTCCACCCTGACTAAGGCCCCTGTTCCAGCTGAAGAAAAACAGCCCCAAAGCATGATGCTGCCACCACCATGCTTTACTGTAGGTATGGTGTTCTTTTGGTGATTGGCAGTTTTGTTTTTGCACCACACAGACCTTTTGGAATTATGGGAAAAACGTTCAACCTTGGTTTCATCGGACCACAACACATTTTCCCACATGCGTTTGGGAGGTTTCAAATGTCTTTTAGCAAAATGAAGCCTGGCTTGGATGGTTTTCTTTGAGAGATGAGGCTTCCATCTTGCCACCCTTCCCCATAGCCCAGACATATGAAGCAGATGGGAGATTGTTGTCACATGTACTACACAGCCAGTACTTCACAGATATTCCTGCAACTCCTTCAGTGTTGCTGTCAGCCTCTTGGTAGCCTCCCTGACCAGTTTTCTCCCTGTTTTCTCATCAATTTTGGATGGATGTCCTGTTCTTGGTGATGTCACTGTTGTGCCATATTTTCTCCACTTGTTGATGACTGTGTCATGTCTTCACTTCATATTTAATTTCTTGGAACTTTTTTGTACCCTTCTCCTGACTGATACCTTTGAACAATGAGATCCCTCTGATGTTTTGGAAGCGCTCTGCAGACCATGAATGATGAATGTTGTCAGTGGTTATGCCCCCACAGGTGGGCTGTGAGTTGGAAGATAAAAGGAGAAGTTCTGGAATGAGCTGGATTGGGTGATAGAGAGCATCCCCAGGGGAGAGAGAGTGGTGATTGGAGCAGACTTGAATGGTCATGTGGGGGAAGGGAACAGAGGTGATGAGGAAGTGATGGGCAGGTTTGGCGTTAGGGATAGAAACTTAGAAGGACAGGCAGTGGTAGATTTTGCAGAGAATCGAAATGGCTGTGGTAAACACCTATTTCCAAAAGAAAGAGGAACACAGGGTGACTTACCTTAAGAGTGGAGGCAGGTCCACACAGATAGATTATATTCTGTCAGGGCTCGAATTACCACGTGCATGCACCAGTTTGTGCACGTAAAATTGGAGCGGTGCACGTAATTTGGTACCCAACTTGCACCAGTGCAAGTAGCTTTTTCTACTGGTACCACTGGTAGAATTATCCAATAAAGAGCTGAGAATACATAAAATTGGAAAAAAATAGTTTCCAGTGTGTTGTCTTTTTCTTCCTTGTTAAGTATTAAACGTCCTTGGTAACCCAGAATCAGCCGATGCGGCACGGGGGTTACGTTTCTTTTCACTTCTTTGTATTATGTCACTTTTCCTGTGAACAAGTTGCTCTCCTCCCCGATAATTTGCTGATGATCATGTGGCACAAATCATGTGTTCGGGACCCCAAATATGGTAAAAGCCGGTAACTTTCATGGAGGTCGGCAAAAGTAGGAGACCTTTGGGAATTCCAGGCGTTCCAGACGTCCTAGAATGCACTGTTGTCCGAGAAAGTATTTTAGAGGTAAACAACAATAACATTCAAATGTCAAGACAATGTCATGTCTAAACAGCGATCGATCCTGGGATTTCTGTCAAGCAAGCACGATATTCCTGTTCCCAAGGATCAAGCGCCGGAGTTAACGCAAGCTCAAGAGGAAGAGAATCGTGAGCCCAGCGGCAAATCTCCATCCACGCCAGGAGAAGAGTGTAGTGATCCCAGCAGCGCATCTCCATCCACGCCAAGTGCACCGGGGTGTAGTGAATCCAGAGGCGAATCTCCATCATGTGCACCGGGAGAAGAGTGCAGCGAGTCAGAAGCGGGCCGTCAGGGACTTACTGTCCAGACACGTATCCTACGGGCCTAGATTGGGACGGGCCCACAATCGAGTACAGTATCCTGAATCTGAGTCTGAAACATCAGAAGAGGAGATTTAGTGTAAGGTAATTCAGTAATTTTGCTGGTGCAAGCATTTTTTGTTTGGTGCAAGTAATTTCTTTTTTATGTGCACCAGTGCACCTTTACCAAAAAATGTAATTTGAGCCCTGTGTGTAGAAGAGGTAATCTGAGGGAGATTAGAGACTGTAAGGTGGTGGCAGGTGAGAGTGTAGCCAAACAACATTGGATGGTAGTGTGCAAGATGATGATGGAAGTGAAAAAAAGGAACAGAATGAAGACAGCAGAAAATTAAGTGGTGGTAATTAAGGAAAGAGAAATGTTGTGAAAACTTCAGGAAGGAAGTAAGGGCAGTTCTGGGCTGTGTTGAGAAACTCCCAGATGATTGGGAGACTACAGCTACAGTGATTAGGGAGACTGGTATGTTCTCCGGTCAAAGAAAGGTAGACAAAGAGACCTGGTGGTGGAATGATGAGGTACAGGAGAGTGTATAGAGAAAGTGATTAGCAAAGAAGAAATGGGACGGTGAGAGAACAGAAGAGAACAGACTGGAGACACAGTACAAAGAGAGGGAGGTGAAGAGGGAAGTCGCCAAGGCCAAACAAAAGGCATATGAGGAGCTGTATGAGAGTTTGAACACAAAGGAAGGAGAAAAGGAGTTGTATAGATTGGCGAGGCAGAGAAATTGAGCTGGGAAGGATGTGCAGCAGGTGAGGTTGATTAAGGACAGAGATGGGAATGTAATCACAAGTGAGAAAAGTGTGCTGAGAAGATGGAAGGAGTACTTTGAGGAGTTGTTGAATGAGGAAAATGAAAGGGAACATAGGAATGAAAAGCCAGAAACTATTAGGAAGAAGGTAGAACAGATTAGAAAGGATGAAGTAAGAAAAGCCCTGAAGAGGATGAAGAGTGGACAGTCAGTTTGTCCCGATGACATACCACTTGAAGTATGGAAGTGGTTAGGGGAAGTGGCGATAGATTTTCTGACTGGGTTGTTCAACAGAATTTTGGAGACTGACAAGATGCCTGATGAGTTGAGGAAAAGTGTTCTGGTGCCAATTTATAAGAAGGGTGATGTGCAGCCCCTCCTTGAACCGCAACCTTAACGTCGTGGAGGGGTTCGAGTATCCGAATGAACCTAGGAGCTATGTTGCCAGGGGCTTAATGCCCCTGGTAGGGTCTCCCAAGGCAAACAGGTCCTAGGCGACGGATCAGACAAATAGTAGTTCAACACCCCCC